AAGTTTTCAAAGAAGGAGGCTCGAGATAGCAGTACTGGCCAATATTTGTGCGATGTGAACTGTAGATGTCACGCACACCGCCCCAAACCAACAAGCATCCTTCCTTTGTAATTGCAGCGTCATGAAAAAATACCGGGGTAGCTAGGTCAAATGGCATTCTCTTCCATTGATAGGTATCCAAATCAAACGACCACACATCGCTGTACATGTCTACGTGTCTGACATCGTCGTCGTCTTTATCAGCACTGCAACCTCCAACGAGTATGGCCTTTCTCTTCCATTTCGTCACCGAATGACACCTTCTTCCTTTCGGGTATCCATCTTCCCAATTGGCACTGCCTATGCTTTCATCAGGAAGAGTTGGTAAATCAACAAACACTTTTTTCTTGGTGTCAAATACTGTTATAGTGCGAAGTTCAGTAACGTAATCAGGACGACCACCACCAAAAAGGAAGATGAGATCGTCATGCAAAACAGCTTCAAGGCGGTACCGTCCTTCCATGTTAGGAGTAGCTTGCGCTTCGCTAGACCATCTCCATTTTCCATTTGCGAAGGTTAATTTGTCAACATCTAGGAAGAAATTGTGTCCCGTTGTACCACCGATAACATAAAAAGAACATGGATCCGAACCGCGCAGCATTGCATGTCCGTAGGTAGCCAGCTTCTCTCCCTCTACAGGAAGTACCATTGATACAATCGAGTTGGATGTATTATGAAAGGACAGTAAGTGAACGCTAGAGGACGTCGATGCTCCGAAGGGTACAGCCGTGCCTCCAAATAGCACAACTTGGTTAGAATACGGAGAGCTCTGCACCAAGGCAAATGAAGCTAGCGCGGTTGGAAAATTACCAAGAAGGTCCATTTCTGTCCATTCTTGTGTCAATAAATTATATCTCCAAACTTCTCTATATATTTTACCACCCTGTTCGTCGGCGGTCCGATCAAATCCTCCGACAACGTATAAAAACTCGTCGTCCAAAAATATTCGATGACCACTACGAGGTGCAGGTTCATTACCTTTTGAAAGAGGTCCGATTGGCAGTTCCCTGAACTTCATGAGATTCACCCCATGGTTACACTCAGAGCTATTCAACTTCTCCTTGCCAGCGTAGAAGAAATCCGACATACCGGGGAAAAAGCGCCAGATATTCTTTTAGCATCAAGCCATATAAGAGTGCTCGATGCCGAATTGGGGGTAATCAGTGACCCTTTGAAGGAGAACCACCTGAGTACATAACTTATACCTTCTTGTTATCCGTGACAAAGCTCTCGAATGCGAATGCTAACCATACTTTATCGTCAGCATTTGATACACCCCTTAATCTTCCCCACGGAGTGCGCCCGAGAGCAATATCATCGTTTTTTCATGTTCCTAAAAGAAAACTTTTTACGAGAAATTTCCAGGATTCATCTGAAGGCTCGTTAAAGCCGTCGTGGTCTTTTTGGAATTTTATTGACATTGGCATTGAAAATTTTTAAAAATAGATGTGCTTTTGTAAATCCCAATGCGAAGCCGCGGCTATTCCTCTGATCTCAATGTCTTCAATGTGCAACGCGATCTCTTAGTTGTGGGTTATTATAGTTTTTCAAGGCAGGGTTGGACGGCCGTCATTCCAATTCGAGGAATTTGACCATTTGCCCAATCCCCCCTCCCCTCCACCTCTATCAGAAGGAACCTCGATACGACCCTATCACCACCGTCAGCCTCAGAGAGATTCCCAGCCCCTCCCGTAACCTCTTCTTTGAATTCCAAAAATGCGATCCTCTTTTCAACCTTTGGACCTTCGCCAACCCAAAATACGCCCCCTCTCCCCTCCAAAATTGCGCAAGTGACGACCGAGTGGAGGAATTGTGTTAATGATTGACCGATAATTTAAGGGGAGAAACGAAAATGCAAAAGATTCCAGAACCAATTCGTAAAGGGCAGAGACTGATGTGAGTGTGCTTTTATTCCAAGGCGCAGTAGCCCATACCTGGCCACGCACAGAACATTTCTTCAGGCCAAAAGATCTTAATCCTCGCTCTTGTCCATGCAGCTACCAGCATCTGCTTATTTATCTATTTAAGTATAAGTATAAGTTTATTACGTTTGCATAAGGCACACGTGAGAAATAATTGACACCATTATGAATCACATGAACTGAACAAGAAATAACTACAAAACACCTATATTTTTAAGAACAACGAGCTTTGGTAATCAGTCTCAAAAAAATGCTATGAACCTCTAGTTCTGAGTA